CAAATGGTTTTTTAGTGGAGAACATTCGACTCGAATTATAACGATGACAAGGATTCACAATGAGGACGAACCATCGTGGGCAATCAACTCGATTCATCGCATAAGATGAAACTGAAGGTGTCGAAATATTAGTCGAATAAAGCATTTCAATCTCGTGATATTACTTCACTCATCAAATAAAATGCTACGGAATGACATCGTCGTGGGTCAAAGAAGAGTCGGCTATCAAAATCTATTTGATCCCAGCCTATCCGCTGCTGAGCGAAGAGCTATTAAAATTATTAAGTCAAAGTTGTTTCGTCGTAGATTAATACTACTACTTCGGAGAGATAGGTACAGATATTATAGGCTGAAAAGATTTAAAAGAGTATGGATGGAACAGAACACTCTCTACAGAGTTCGATACGCGTATGATGCAAAAGAAGACATTGTAGTCACACTCAAAATTACTAGCGTTTTTACCGCATTTTTCGCAGTGTTATGATGTCTCATATATACCAAAGAGAATTGAGTGGTGAGCAAAAACACGACCTAAGACGGGAGTCGAACCCGCGTTTCGTCCATCCCGGGGGCGCGTGCTATCACTACACCACAGAGATATAACCGCACCACCACTCATTCTTCAAAATCTCTATGATAGCTGTCAGCCATCAACCTTTAACAGGTTTGGTCGGGTATGCAATTTCGCTTTATAATCTCAGTCGAGCTGAGAGCCATTGTGATAAGTATTACTCAAAATTCAAAGTGTTTTTACTGCATCTTTCGCAGTGTTATGATCTTACACATATACCTAAGAGAAGCAAAAGTACGATCCCAGTTGGGAGTCGAACCCGCGTTTCATTCATACCGGCGACGCGAGCTACCACTCTACCCCAGAGGTATATGCGCCCACAACGTATTCACCATCTATTTTTGCTCACCACTCAATTCTCGTAGATATTTATAGAACATAAATATAAAATATATTCTAGTCAGTCCCGACTTATTTCTATTGAACTGATGTAGAATTTAGTCAGGTGAGGACCATAATCATTTCCCAAAGATCAACTTTCGTATTTTTGCAAACCGACAAAGATGCACCCTTTCTCCTGAGCCCATCGGATTCATGGCGAAGTGACATTTACAAAAAAGTATGTCCACGGGAGCGTCAAAATTCAAAAATGACAGCTCACCTATCCAGCACTACTTACTAAAAATGAAGCTAGCTTAATTCTCTTCAAAGAAATGCTTGAAGAAAAAAATAGGCGCTCCCATCACTCGAGAGTTCTGCGATAGCGGAATATGTTGGCTTGCATCTTATTGACAGAAATGCCGTTCATAATCACTCAATGTTCTCAGGTGAGCTGACGTGCCCATAGAGCACTTTACAGCACTTTTACGGCACTCAGACTCTATTCCTGTACATATTTATTAGATCGAGGCAATACAAATGTATAATTCAATCTGGTATCAATGCAGTCGTGTGATTTCTCCATGAACTAGTCTTGAGACTTGAACCGTTCTCTGTGTTTCGACAGCTCCTCCATTGTATATCGATCAGTAGAACTTTCCGACAACAGTGAACCTGCGACAAAGCAAGTTGTATCATAATGCAGTTCTATTGGTAGAGATAAAGACAACGGAGAAAACTATTCTCAAAAGTTCAAAATAAAGGAAAGTTCACCGCTGCATGCTACCAGAACCGCATTATATTTGGTATGTAGGATATCTATTACAGCTTACCCATGTAGTTAAACAATGTCTTTTACTTTTTCAGGTAAACAATGCGAATTTGACGACTCTAGAGGGATAGATAGTGTGATGTTTCTAATGCGCTTCATAGAATGAAATCTACTTTGTATAGCGAGGCATCTCTAAACCCTGTCTTGACCGATTCGAAGGCATTTTCTGAGGGACTGTGGACTGTTATAAATTACTTTGTCTTGTGGTTACTATTCTTTGCACTTAACTTATTCAAAACCTTGGCCAACGACGTTACTGTCGCTGTCCTAGATTTCCGTGATTTCACACGAGTAGAGCGCGAGGTGGACACAGTAGTGAATTGGATACGAAAGTTGCCTTTTTTGTGAATCAACGTCTATGCCAATCTTTCACTGAACATAAATCTTCCATTTTGTTGGAATAAAGAGGAAATTAGCGATAGCTTTATAAATGTGTGCTACGCATTCGTCTTCATTGAGTAGAAGGTGATTATATGCTGCTATGCTCTCATAGCAGTCAAGTAGCACCCTCTTGCCCCCGAAAGTGTAGAAGAAATTGTTGCCCGACACGCGATGTGTCTAGAGATTGAGTGTGCGTCGTAGTGCGCCTCTGATCACTACACTACACGATTCTTTTACGTGATAGGTAACAGAATGAAATTTAATCTGAAGAACTTATCGCTCTTGAAAGAATGCTCAGGTTGAATCTCATCGCATTAGGTTTTCTGCAGCTTATCGTCACAAGACAGAGTATTGTACTTCAAAAGCTGAAACGTTTGAAAACATACAACTTGCTTTTCTTTGATATAGGATGTGGAGATCTGGCAGTTCAAGAGAGCGGCGTTGAATTACTGGGTGATTTCCTCGATTGACCGTTCTGGATGCAGTGAGTTCACCATCTGTCTCAGGAGCGATTATTATCATGGTATTATCATAGCCCTGTGACTGGCACAAAATCGGTGGGTTTTGCAAATATCTAAATTTTTATGACTTCAGTGAGCTTTGCTGCTCTCCGTACTTCATTCTGATCGTTTTAAACCACCTCTGTGCAGAGCGTTCTTACCTGAAGCGTAAACTATAATTACATGAGCTTGAACGATGTCACGTTGGTGTATTAGCTTGCTATTTCTATCGAAAGATGTTTCTTAGTGGCACAAATATTTAGCTTTTTTGAGTTTACCGAACATTTCGGCCAAGTTGCTTTTGTTCGTTACGGTATTGCGTATAACGGTACTGTTTATGGAACCACCAAGGGATCTGATTACAACCCAATCCACGGTATTTTTAGCTCAAAAGTGTTTTGAAATCTGCGACTAACAATTAATGGTTTATACTCTGTGACTTCAAAATAAATCGTGATAGAACACAACGATGAAACGTAGAACCCTTTCGCTCTGCCGATGATCTTCGTAGTGTATGCACGAAGAGAAAAAATCAAGAAACATTTTTTATACTGTAAAATACTTCCAACTACAAGTTGTGCATCAGATAAACACTGTCTGAAATCCTTCTTAGTGCATAAAGAAAGAAACATTTTTCAATAGAAATGCTAACAGCTTAATTTTGCTATACACTGAAGACGCATTGTAAAACTTAAATCTGACTTTTCCTACTATTAAATGAATATCGTCACTTAATCTTAATTTCATTGATCCTTTTATCGAAGAGATAGAAAGATATGTATGGCAACTAATAGAAGCTGAAGAATAGAGGCGAATAGCACTATGATAGATCCAGTGTCATAATCATCGTCGAACACCATCACAGTGATGTTAGCACAAAGAAGCACTGCTCTTGCGACGTGCACTTCGCATATCTGAAATCAAAAGAAAAAATTATCTTATGGGAATATTAACAAGTAGCTGCATGGAAGGTAATAAAGAAAGATCGACATATTTTATGAACAAGGTATAAGAGTAGCATATCGCCTTATAGAGGTTTTTTGCCAGCAAACCACCTACACTGAGAAAGTGTTTGACATTCCCATTTAAAAGCTTGCTGTAACAGCTACAATACGAGGAATTTCGTTATCACAAATTAGTATCTGCTTGCGTTTTCTAGGTTTCAGATATGCGCGTGCAATTAGAAATGAACGTGACAAACTGAGCCAAATGTAATGGAAATTCTCTGGATACAAAAATCTATCGTCTTTACTTTGATGAAAAAGGCAGTCTACTTAGATATAACGCATCTTCTTTACGCACAATTATGGAGATGCTTTGAGCCTTTGAAGTAAGTTTTCAAAATCTGGTAGCATATTTTGAGCCTTTCACGAAATCTGTTATGGTAATTGAACAGTGAAATACACGTGTTTCGGTCTTCCAGCCTCATCAGTTGCACGATGTCTTTCGGTTCAGTTAAGCGGAGAGATATCTCTGTATAAACGAGCCGACGCCGAACGTTTTGCACGCGCCGTTAAGTGATAAAATTACCGAACAGGCAGTGAAAGGTCACATGAAAGGCTCAATATATTGCCAGACTATATTGTTTTGAGTGAGATCTCAAAAACACACGAAGCGAAAATTATGATATTTCACGATTACCGGCCAAGAGCAGTCGAGTATACAATGCTGCCCGTTAAGTGATTTTATCACTATAAGTTTTTGAGAATGTTTGAAGCCTTACCCTAGGTTGGTACTCCAGGGCTATACACGCGTGTTTGGGAGGTCTCGCCACCATCGTCAGTAGCCCACGCCCCACACTAAGCCCTGCATTGTAGGAAGTAGGGAGGAGTATGTGGTGACGGCGCAGTGTACAAGAACACCGTGCCATCACCATTTCTCAGTCGATGGATTTTATCACTTGACGGCGCGTGTAAAACTTTCGGCGTTGGCATCCAAATGCAGGGATATCTTCCACGGAACTGACTGAACCGAAAAGCACCGCGCAACTGACAAGGCTGGAAAGCAAAAGCACGGGTACTGCACTGTATAAGTGTCATGACAAGTTTCGTTTTAGGCTCAAAATATGCTAGGCTATATTGTTAAAAGCAAGATCTCTAAAAAACGCAACGAGAGGCATAACTTCCTACACTCATTGCGAGACTTTGTAGCGTGCTTGTGCCTTAGAATCACCTTATGAGGTTGCCTTTAACCCTTAAGAGCGGCTATAAAAACCGATGCACGCAGAGCAAAATACGCGATTTTCGCTATTTGATTAAGAGTTTTTTTTTTGCCGGTTTGCGGAAATGTTTGAAATTCTCGTTCTAATAAGCAATCGAAATTCATTTATTTGGCTGCCTCTTGCGGTAGTATGATCTTATAATATACCCAATAATGTAGAGTGCCATGTAGAAACATTTGTGTCAGCCGGGATTCGAACCCATATCTCATTCTTCCCGGGAGCGTATGCAAAACCATTACACCACCGGCGCTCGTTTTGCTCTTTCTACACTACAACGTCTGTCAACAGCCAAACGTCGACGGTATGACGTGGCAGTAGCTATTGGAATTTAACCCACTTATGTTGACAGATATTGGGTATCAATAATCAATCGAAATCCATTTATTTGACCACCTCTTGCGGTTTCGTTACTGTGTTCGAATCCCGGCTGAAGCGAATGTTTTTGCACGGCAATCTACATTATTAAGCTTATTGTAAAACCATACCACTGCAAGAGGTAGTCAAACAAATGAATTTCGATTAACTATTGATACCCAATTCTGTCAACATCAGTGGGTTCAAGGCCGATAACGGCTGCCCCGCCAGACCGTCGACGGTTGGCTTTGACAGATAACGCGTTATAGCATAGAAAGAGCCCTTCCAATAACTATTCGATTGCACAAATCTCAACGATCTCAGTGATAAGCTTGGTTTTTGGGGAAGTACGTTTCAATGTGTTGTTACAGCTATGCGATCACTGAATTTCGCACTCAGCGCAGGTCGGCCGGGCAGAGCAATTTACATGTGACGTCCGGTACGCGCCTAGTGTAAAACTCAATGTTCTTTTAGCTGCAACGACGAGCTAAGAAGTCTCCTTCAGAAACCAAGCATATTGCTGAGATTTTTGAGTCTGATTTGCAGAGATTTGTGTTGTCAAAGAACTGCCGAATCTTTTGAGAAAAAGCGTTGCTCACAGGAGGATACTCAAGTGTTGAACAACATATTCTTTTCCCTATTACAGTGCAATGCAGAGACTTTTGAAAAAATAGAGAAGATTTTTCAATTTTCAAGAGTTAAGCTATTGAATAACCACTAAAATGTCTGTAAAAGGTGAAAAATACGTTTTTTTCGAATATGGGTGCTGATAGGGGAAGTAATGCATCATGCGCAATAATGAACGCGCGCTCCTCCTACACTCACTCAAGCTCGAGAAATGCCTCCATACACACCTTGATTAAAGACGTTTATTTGTAGAAAATGTGGTTCCAAGCTAAGTTCTCGTAAGACAGGCGATACAAATGTTCAATATGGGTTATAAGTTCATTTTTGTACAAAGATGTAGTATTGTCGCTGAAAAATCAAGGATTTCAAGAGAAGTAATCACTCCTTGCTTCATAACATCTAGAAGGTTCATTTATGATATTCCATCCATTATGTAACGACAAGACACCTCTGAGTTATAAACTTCACTTATATTACCAGTGAACCGCCTACGACGTCCGAGAGGCGGGATAGCATTTTAGGCGTGAGATGTGATCTTCTTTTCGCTCTCAAGGCGTTATATGGCAACCTTTCAAAAAAGCAATTCTATTATCTGAGTTGTCGAAATTTGGGTTATCTATTGAGCATAAAAGCTTCAAGAAAGAGTCATATAGCGGCCCCAGCCGAAGCAAATGAAGAAATTTGAGTGTGAAAAATAATTTTAATTTCGATGTTGCAACGTAATAAAAAGTTTTTTGAAGCTAAAGGTCTTGAAAAATTGCCGAGATTTGAGCTCTCGAATGATTACCAAATGTTTGCGAGAAAACTTTTTTGCAGCGAGAAAGGCCTCTAAACTATCGCCTACCTGAGCTGGCACATTTCGTCCCTTAGGGGCTAATGCAACCTTGACAACCTTATATAATTTCGAAATTATAGTATTTTCACTGCTTTTTTCACAGTGTTATTATGTTACTTATATGACTAAGAGATTGAGCGGTGAACAAAAACACGGCCTCAGGCGGGAATCGAACCCACGTTTCATCCACGAACTCTTTTTTCAACATATACAAATTTGTGTAAATTACAGCGTTAGAGGTCACCACGAAAAATGTTATGTCACAAATCATAAGAGTTTCCACCTTTCAACCAAAATAGTTTACTATTCGATTAGCTAGCTTTCTTCAGTGATCTAATCTCTTCTTAGCATAGGTGAGACCTTAACTGTGTGTTCTATTTCTCTATCAAAGCACATCCATTCCCTATGGTGAAGCTTCTAGCCATGAATGCTACATCTACGACAGTGGGAAAAGAAGAGAACGTATAATGAACGGAGAGAAAACAAATCAAGGGCAATCTCTGGACATTGAACTGACAGTTTTCCATGGTCCAGAGTGGATGGTTTCGAGTAAAAGTATGTCTCGATATCTATCAAATAATGAACTTCAGCATGAATCATAACCTTTCCTAGGCTTGAAACACAATCAAAACCTTGCTATATTTACACTTATCTTTTGTTACAAAAGGATTACCGTGTATTTCCAAGAGTACGGTATAAAGTATCGCGCTTGTGAGTCGGTGTCTTCCCTCCGGACTTGAAGCCGAAAAACCTATGAACGGGTTGGGATAAATATCGGCTTGCACCACACATCTCTAATTTAATGTTGCATTCTTAATGCACTCTTGGAAACTGCAATAGTTTCAGAATGACAGAAACTTATTTACCTCTACGCTCAAACATGCGAGAATGAGCAGGACGGCAACAAGCATATTTAACACAGCAATCGTGAGGGGTACCACGGGATTGATGGCTATCACAGACCACACAATAATACATGCTGCGCACCAGACCTTGGGAAACAAGGAAATCCGAAAAAACAAAACGAGCATTAGGTCAGAAATCATTCCATACACATATTCTACCAATAATAGTAAATTGACTAGAGTGGCTACCAATGAAACCTATATTCATTTTGACGTGTGCCAGTACCGATCAGTGAGTTCTGCCCGCATGTGAAACTAATATGAGCAAGTATCTTCCACGACGATGTCTGCTAATAAATTTGTTAAGAAAACGCTCGCCTACATAACTCATCAAAAAATACGGCCTCCCAACTACTTTCACAGCTGGAAGATCAACTCATGCTTTTCTCATTGAAACTAGGGTAACAAGCCCATTTTTGGGCTGCCTGAACCTATGCGAATAATACAATATCCACAGCGTACATCTGGACTTGTGAAGCTTTGCATTGAACACTATTCAATGCAGAATATATTTCAGTATAGTGAGTTATGACTGACAATTCGGAAATATTGTCTTCTTAGAATTTGAAAAGGTCAAATTGTCTCGCAGTCTGCTCAATCAAATAGTCCAGAAGTTCAGCATGCAAATGTGGTAGACAAATTTTGATTTCTGCTAAACCGTTTCCATTTGAAACACACAGTGTCTTATTCTTGTTACGTCCCCCAAATAGTCAATTGAGACAAACCGCACACACTATGGGTAAGACAGCTGGATGCTTAGCCCAGGTCAGAAAAATTAGCCTTAAGTATGACGCGAGGTCACGCTCTAAGGTAGAAGGCTCAACAATGAATTGGCGGAAGTCAAGGTCTTGCGGCACCAACCTACAGTCCAGATGTTGCGCCAACCGATTGTGGTCCGATTTCCCCTCAAAAGAAAATTCCCTGCGCCGACGGCGATTCGAGACATTTGACCAAGATGAACAGGTCAGGAATTTTTTGATCCAAAGCCCGAGGAATGGTGTTTCGAGCAGATCCGGAAGTTTGTAGATTGTTGACAGAAGATCGTGGACAATGATGGTCCTTATTTTTGAAAGAATAATCATTGTTGTCTTCAATTCAATTCATTATATACAGGCCTTGAATTTTCAGTGTGTGCTATGGAACTATTTCCTCAACCTAATACAAAGCTAAAGAGAAAAGTTTGCCTTTTCATAGCGTCTTCTTGATCAGGATCATCCTGGAAGTAATTTGTCTCACATAAGTTGGGCCTGATTATCTGGAATCCTGAGCTAACAGAAGATCGAGATCACGACTTCGCAATGTGAATGAACATGATATTCATCGGCTATGCGTAATGGCTTCTAACTATAAGTTTTTCAATAGACCCTTTCATTATTATATGAGCCAACTTGTCATGTGGTCTGCTAAGGGCTCTTGTACAGCCCGATACACGTGTTCGTCTTTACAGACTCGTCAGTCGGGCAGAACCCGTCGTCTTTCGAAATTTTATAGTCAGTTCTCTCGGGAGCTCTACTCCCTTACAGAGAGTCATCGAAGACGAACGTTTTACACTCTATGTCAAGCGAAATTTTCACCTAACACAGTGTTTTTGCACCCCAGTGCTCGTTGGCTGGTATTTTTATCATATTATACCTTTACTTCGAATGCTTTATTACGATCACGCTCAAATTTCAATAGATCCTTAATAGGTAAAGCCAAAGAGTAATCGAGTGCACAAAAGCTCATGGTTAGGTAAAAATTTCGCTTGACATAGAGTGTAAAACGTTCGTCTTCGATGACTCTCTGTAAGAGAGCAGAGCTCCCGAGAGAACTGACTATAAAAATATCGAAAGACGACGGGTTCTCCCGACTGACCAGTCTGTAAAGACGAAACACGTGTATTGGGCTCTACAAGAGCCTTTACCAGACCACATGACAAGTTGGCTTGAATAATAGTGAAAGGATCTATTGAAATTTGGGCGTGGTCTTAATAAAGCACTCAAAATAAAGGTATAATATAAGTTTTTTCAAATTTCTCAAGCAAGCGGAACCAAATTCACAGCTCTAGCATGCGATGAGTTGATTGTAAACCATCATAATTTCCCCCGGCTCCTTTATGGTATAAACTAGGACAGGATGTACGTAATAACGATTCCGCTTGTAGTTGAAACTCAAGAACAGCTAGAAATTGCACGTAGTTATTATTTATGGGACACTTACTATTTCAATGCACAAGAGTGTTATGGTAAATTTTGGTTTCTCTTTGAGGTATTCACCTCTAATCATCATACGTTGTTTTGACTCGCACAGCAACCCTATCCGTCGTCTAACCGATTCCTCAGATTCTGCTATAATGATGAAGAAGATTACACTTTACCAAAGTTGATCATTTCTTATATGAATAAGTTTGGAACGTCCTTACGCTGTTTGATGATTTCGACTAGACTTCCTTCATCGGCAGCTAGCTCACTTGAAAATCTTGTTCTCTCCCATTGTGTCCTGTCGAATAGCCCCATCGACGATGACTCCTAAAAAGGAAATTCAAGTCAT